ATGTAAAGGATCACCAAGGCACCAAAACAACTTTAGCTTAATTAAGCGGTTTTGGTGTATAGATCAAGCCCTGCAGTCTCACTGCTCAATTATCTGCCATTTAGGAGTTCATTCCCTCTGTTTAGTCAGCCCAAGTCAAACCTCCCTGCATGTAACTTACACAGCCTTCTAAAACACTTCCAGCAAAGAGTCATCTAATGTTTAAACTTACTTTATTACAAATTCTGTTTAATTTAAAATGTCGTATCTCCTGCTCTGTTAATAGTGTTGCAGACCTTCCAGGAGCCTTCGGTGATTAAAGTTTAATTTACATAGTAGGAGCTACAACCTTTTAAAGTAAACACCCTTTGCTGTAAGATATGATTGAAAATGAAACCAATGTGAGTCACAGCCATGGGTGTTGTGGCTAGGGCTGTGTCAACAGAAATAAAAGTAATTTAACTCCTAAATGGCAGAACATTGAGCATAGAGGCTACATGGACATGATCTATTCCAGGGCTAGCTAACCTTTTGTACTCCAGATATTGTGGACTACATCTCTAATAAAGTTCTCACAGCCATATTACTGTGCAAAGCATCATAAGAGATGTAGTTCAAAACATCTGGAGTGCTGAAAGTTGCCTACTCCTGATCTATACATTAAAACTGTTTCATTAAGCTACAGTTCTTTTGATGCGTATAGTATCTCTTGAATTCCAGGTTGCAACCATATAAAATGTGAAAACAACCAAGGGGGTGAATACTTATGTAAGGTACTGTAGGTAAGGAGAAATGGATTTTTGGGTAGAACATTGGCTTAAAAACAGAGTACAAAGAGTTGTCATTAATGGTAAATTTTCAAGCTGGACAGAGGTGGCAAGTGGTGTCCCTCAGGGGTCTGTTCTGGGACCCCTTCTATTTAACATGTTTATAAATGATCTTGAAGACCGCATTGAAAGTCATGTTTCAGTGTTTGCAGATGACACCAAACTTTGTAAAACAATACAATGTGAGCAAGATATGACTTTGCTGCAGAGGGATTTAGATAGACTGGGGGACTGGGCACTCAAATGGCAGATGAAATTTAATGTTGAAAAATGCAAAGTTATGCACTTCGGCGTAAAGAATACACAAGCAACGTATACCCTTAATGGAAGCGAATTAGGGATAACAACACATGAAAAGGACTTGGGAATTGTTATAGACAACAAACTATGCAACAATGTGCAATGTCAATCAGCAGTGGCCAAGGCCAGTAAGGTATTGTCATGCATGAAAAAGGGCATTCATTCTCGGGACAAGAATATAATTTTGCCTCTTTATAAATCACTGGTAAGACCCCATATTGAATATGCTGTGCAATTTTGGGCACCTGTTCTAAAGAAGGATATTATGGCACTAGAAAAAGTGCAGAGGCGGGCTACAAAATTAATAAAAGGAATGGAACATATCGGCTATGAAGAAAGGTTAACAAATTTAAACCTATTTAGTTTAGAAAAACGTTGCCTAAGAGGGGATATGATAACATTATACAAATATATTCAGGGCCAATACAAACCATTGTGTGGAAATCTATTCACAAACCGGACCTACATAGGACACGAGGCCATGCGTTTAGACTGGAAGAAAGAAGATTTTGACTAAGGCAAAGGAAAGGTTTTTTTACTGTAAGAACAATCAGGATTTGGAATTCTCTGCCTGAAGAAGTGGTTTTATCAGAGTCCATACAGATGTTCAAACGGCTACTAGATGCATACTTGCAAGAACAGAATATTCAAGGATATAATCTTTCAATGTAGGGTAATAACTGCTTGATCCAAGGATATATCTGACTGCCATTCTGGGGTCAAGAAGGAATTTTTTTCCTAGCTTGTTGCAAAATTGTGCTTCAAACTGGGTTTTTTTGCCTTCTTTTGGATCAACAGCAAAAAACAAATGTGAGGTAGGCTGAACTTGATGGACGCAAGTCTCTTTTCAGCTATGTAACTATGACAAGCCTCTCAGGATGCAGGGGGAGAGCTATGCCAATGAATGGTGACATGACAATATTTTCTTTCCTCATTATGTAACAAGTACTCTCTTACTACAGATAGGCAGCTTCACTTGGAGCATCAGTCTAGCACCCACGAGTCTGATCTTCCATTTTGGGATCGTGCTTCCTCTGCAGAGGTGGAACTAACCTCTTACATGCTCCTGACCATGCTTTATGGACCAGAAAAAGACATGGGCAGAGCCTCAGATAGTGAACTGGCTAAACATGCAGCAGCATCCATATGGGGGATTCTCATCCACACAGGTAAATGGGGGTTAGTATTATAGTGATTCACAGATATCTGCTATTATTGGGAATAGTAAACTGTTTCCCTGCTGAAGACCTGTAGGTAACAGTAACAGTGATCCGACACAAACATTTGAGGGAATAACCGTGATTATCCTAGAGTAAGAGAATGTGAGACCATGTAAATTGAAAGAGCTAGAGCATGTGGAAGAAAGTAGTAAGTACATGTGAAGTCTTGCTGACAATGATGGTCCACAGATTTAAATGGGGACTGTCACTTCAAATGATTTATAATACTTTGCTTGCGTATTCCTCTATTCAATAAATATTTGTTTGCAGTTCACCAATTTCAGTGAATGAAGCTATAGGTGACATTTCAGTTAATAATTCCATTACTGTGTAAATTCCAGAGAAGTAACCGTCCATCTTAACAAAAATAAAATAATCAGCTGGGAATGTAAATTTTACAAAAATGATTGATAGAATCATTGAATTTCCTAAAAAACTAGAATTAAATCCTCTGAGGCTTAACTGTCTTTCTAAAATGTGGAAAAAGTTCACATTACTTTTTTGGAACCATACAAATTTTATACTTCATATACAAAATTAAATAGCCCTGTTCTCTATGATATCATATTCACTTGAAGATAATAAGAGAAGATAAAATAATGTCCAATCAGTATTAGAATGTAATGTTATACTTATTCATTGTAAGGATATTTATGGAGTGATATTAAAAATATTTTCATATACATTATCAAAAATGTATTATAATGATATATTGGCACTGTTTCCCAAATTAATGATTTAAAGCTGAGACTTACTCACTATTTTAATTATCCAAGATCCTAGAGCAAGTTTCATTAGAAGATTTTATTTCACACATTAATCACAAATTAATTATAAAAAAATGACAGATAATAATAATAATATTAATATGTAACACGCATGACAATAATTAGTAAATATTTAGTTATAACATAAGTATACAATATGGCAGTGGTTTTAACACTGTAAACCGCTAAATAGCAAGTTATATGCAACAGCTGTATGCAGTTTTCAAACCAGATTTACAACAGGACAATTTACTTTGAAATCAACTTAACACAGAATACAGCATCTCACAGCAGCACAGCGTAAAGCAATAAAAACTTTGTCTGACAGTCAAATCACACTGAATTAACTTTCATTGTAAGCTACAATCCTCATAGGCAAGATACCCTGTTATATTGCAATTTTACAACTACAATAATTCTCATACCAGATCATTTACCATTCCTAATAAGAATAATTCTAACCAGGTTGTACATTTGAGGAATTTTAACTTTCCTTATTAAGATTCACTATCCTTAATTTCAGAACAAGTCAATACCTCTGTATAAAAATTTGGTATGCTAACATTTGGCAAATTTACCTTTAATATATTGTTATCTTTATTCCACCTGCACAAATTGATTTTTTTATAACCATATATTCCTTAGCTAATTAGGATTTCTAATATTCTAAATCTGACCAACATTTATCCAGATATATTTTCCTGCTATTAGTAAAAAGTAATTAACAAAATTAAATAAAACCTGCATAATTATCAGTTAGGTTGTAGATTGTCTATCAGATGTGTAGATATACCCCAGGAATTTTGAATGCATGTATGATGAGAATTGTATGAAAATAGAAAAATTTTGAGATTTCTGAAGTTGTGTTCGTTGGAAAAGAAAATGTAAAAAATTAGGTGTGTCCATCTTTGGCTCCAGATGTCAGATCTTAGATGTTAAGTGTGAGTTATAAGTTAATGTCTAAGAGCCAGAGTCTAAGAGTGAGTTAAGTGTAAGAGACTCCTCTCTCTCCCATGTCCTTAATTTTTAAAAGAGAAATTCCAATATGTCACTAGTTGATAGTAACCAATGGAGAACTGTGGGTGTGTCTTTCCTACAGACTATCATCTAGATTTTGGTCAGTAGATGGCGCAATTATAACACCGAAAATTCTTGTCAGGGGGTCCATTTACCTTTTTTTGTATAATGGGTTAACTGAATTTCGTAATGCGTTTGACGTCATCTAGGTTATCTATATGGCTACTATCCATCCAAGAGTGTTTGTTTCACTTTTACCCAGACTTGTGTATGCATTTTAGTGTCATAATTTAGAATTGGACATATGTAGCCTTAATTTTACCCTTCCTTACAATGGAACTTGTAAGATTCCGTTAGTTTTAAGAAAGTAAAATTAATTACTTGGTGTTATCTGTCATTTGGTGTCTGGTTTTCTTGTGTGAAACTGTAGTTAAGATTACACATATTCCACTAACATTAGTAAATAATGTGAAATTTCTTCATTGATATTATATCCATGAAAATTCTATATTATTAACATATCACTAATTATATATGATTAATATAATAGTAAGGTGTGTGTGTGTGTGTGTGTGTGTGTGTGTGTGTGTATATGTATATGTATATGTATGTGTATATATATATATATATATATATATATATATATATAATACAATGTTAAATAAAAATCTGCACACCAGTCAAGCCATAAGACTTGCTTTTCCCACAGAAATCCCAAATCTGCAGTGATGTTACAACCGCAAAGGATTCTGGGTGGGCATATGCAAATTAGTTTAACAAATAATCACATTTTTGCCTCATTCCATTTTAAACATGGATTCCTTTTAATCTGTGTTTGCAGTATACAACTGCTTGGAACACAATTTAGGAAAAGATGCAAAACCAGTGAACCACTCATGGACAGCTGTTTCGTTGTTAATGCAACTCTTCAGAGTTTCAGAGTTGCATTAACAACGAAACAGCTGTCCACGAGTGGTTCACTGGTTTTGCACTTAATACTAATGTTTTCCTTAAGTTTGTTTTGCCTTTATTTGAATCCTTTCTTATCCTCCTGTAGACTGTCTTGAGATACACTCCCCACCTAGAAGTGATGCCACATTTGCAATGAGCGTAAATGTAAGACCAGATCAGTGTCCTGCTGAGTCAGTGACAAAACTTCAGATACACATCACTGCTGAGTATATTTTCTCTTCTACTATTTAAATTCTGCAGTTAGGCTCATGTACATACTGTGTATCTTGACATACTTATTTTATTCAATGTAACATTTATTATTAACAATTTATGTATCTAGGTCTTGAGTATTCTCTCAGGGGAGTCAAAGATACTGACACATACAAAACAAAGGGCTTTTTTGTTTTAAAAGTTGTTTGAGCACCAGTTAAATGTTATTTCAATAGATAGCTGTTTTCAACAATGTGTGATCCTGTAGTATATTGACACTGTGAAATATTGGATTCCAGGATGGAGTGTCAGTGTGTGTACTACAGGAGATGTTTATATGCATGGTAATAATGTAATAAATGAATGCAGCAATTTATTTGTTTTGAGGCTCAGTGCATGTGTTGGTGAAAGCAAGGATAAATGTGTGAGGTGGATGAATATCTGTGCATGTGTCTGTAGGTGTCCATAAGTAGAAGGTAAGTATGTGAATAAAAGATCAATGCATAATTGAATACAAAGTGTATTTATGTTGAGGGCTAGTATGTATGTGTAACCCCTTAGTGACCAGGCAATTTTTCAATTGTATTACCGTTAAGGACCAGGGCTCTTTTTCTGCAGTGGCTGTGTTTAGATGTATTTGCCTCTTATATATTTACTGTGCCCACACATTGTATACCGTTTACCTCACTATTAAATGTTCATTCTAAAGATACCATTATTTTCATCATATCATATGAATTACTAGAATAAAAAAAGTGAAATATAATGAGACATAAAACACAGCTGGCCATCATGCCCCCATGTCCCAGTTGGAACATTTCTGAAGCCAGCCAATGTAATTCACCTCCGTCAAACCGTATGTTTTGGAAAAGTACACAGCCTAGGGCATTTCACATGGTGGCATTTCAAAACTTTGCATGCACTTATTCTACCACCAGTCTCTGTCAAACGTTTTTGTGATGTCCTTTTTCACTCACACATTCATGTTCACTTTTTCACTCACACATTCTACTTTGAGCATAAATTCTAACCTCCTGTTAGGTGTTCCTGCCAAAGGACACCCCAATATGTGCTCGGCAACATCTCCCGGGTACAGCGATACCACGCATGCATATGTTTGTCGGGTTCACTGGGGGATGCAAAGCAAAATGTCTGATATGCGTTTTTCAAATTGTACATATCTTCTTTGCCGATCTACCTTATGGGGGACTTATCAGATATCCCAATGTATTTTCTTGACATGAGCATGCATTTATTTGAAAAGTTGACACCCTGCAGTAGTTGAACGCTTGTGGAGGTAACTGTTCAATTCTCATTTTCACACACACACACACTGCTTTTTGACTGTGATTTTAGGAGAGTCCGCTGTTGGTTATTGCAAGAACACACCCCAGGGGGTTTTCTGCAAGGCTTCTCCTTAGGACACCCATGCCCCCCACGCATAGGCTCGCCAGGATTTTGGGAAGGTATGGTTACAATTGTATGACTTTTCAGTTTGAGTTGAAATTGAGAGTAGTTCTTCTGATAGGCCTATCTTTAGCTTGGGGCTTATCACATAGCCCAGTTTTATAGATCGTCACAAAAGGATACACACTTTGAAACGTAGACACCCCAAGGTATTGCATGTGGAGTGCTTTGATGCAACCTTTTTTCTTTTTCTATAGCCAGACCAAAAATAAATAAATAAAATAAAACAGTTGAACGCGTGTGGAGGTAACTGTTCAGTCCTCATTTTCACACACACACACACACACACACACTGCTTTTTGACTGTGATTTAGGAGAACCCGCTGTTGGTTATTGCAAGAACACACCCCAGGGGGTTTTCTGCAAGGCTTCTCCTTAGGACACCCATGCCCCCCACGCATAGGCTTGCCAGGATTTTGGGAAGGTATGGTTACAATTGTATGACTTTTCAGTTTGAGTTGAAATTGAGAGTAGTTCTTCTCATAGGCCTATCTTTAGCTTGGGGCTTATCACATAGCCCAGTTTTATAGATCGCCACGAAAGGATACACACTTTGAAACGTGGACACCCCAAGGTATTGCATGTGGAGTGCTTTGATGCAACCTTTTTTCTTTTTTTATAGCCAGACCAAAAATAAATAAATAAAATAAAACAGTTGAAGAACGCGTGTGGAGGTAACTGTTCAGTCCTCATTTTCACACACACACACACACACACACACACACACTGCTTTTTGACTGTGATTTAGGAGAGCCCGCTGTTGGTTATTGCAAGAACACACCCCAGGGGGTTTTCTGCAAGGCTTCTCCTTAGGACACCCATGCCCCCCATGCACGGGGTAAATGTAAGAACCCCCCCCCCAAAAAAAAACAACTCTGAACGGCAAATGTTAAAAAATAAATTAAAAATGGACCAGCGTGTGGTAGCGTTTGAAGCAGTCGCCAATGCAGAGTCCAGGCTGTCCAGGGCAATCAGGACAGTAATATACACTGTCTTTTCTCTGCCCCCTCTTAGAACAGACCCTGCATCTTTTTTGGGGATTCTGCTTTGCCGCAGTAGGGGGGATTTTAAAAATAAAATGTGTAGCCCCAACTCTGCTCTCTCCCATCACCGCCCGGGGAGCAGGTGCATCACGGTACAAAATCCCCGAAATGATCTGGAGCTGAAACTATAAAAATCTCAGTTGCGTCCCGGGGTTTGCTTTTTTGAACAACAAGAAAGCGTTGTGGGTTGCAATCTGCATCAGGTAGATTGCAACCTTTTTGTACCAGGCCCTTGTCTTTCATATAATTAGGTAGGGCTGCAGCAGCTGATCTGCCAGATCAACCCCACCCATGTGCCGGTTATAGGCCTTGATGCACACTGGCTTCCTTGTCCTCTCAGCTCTGCCACGTACAGGGACCTCCACAGTCCCCTCAGTGTGGATGCTGGTAAGAAGGTACACATCCTTCTTGTCTCTGTACTTAACTGCCAACAGCTCCTCTTGGCGCAGAGCTGAGGTCTCCCCCCTTCGTAGCCGGGTGCGTGCAAGTTGTCCTGGGAAACCTGTGCTGTTCTTTTTAATTGTGCCACAAGCTACTGTATCAAAACAGTACAGTAGCTTGAACAAAGGGACACTTGTATAAAAATTGTCAGTATACAAGTGGTACCCTTTGTTCATGAGGGGGAAAATCAGGTCCCAGACAATCTTGCCACTGGTTCCCATATGTTCTGGGCAACCTGGAGGGTCAAGGTGGCTATCCTTTCCCTCGTACACCCGGAAGGCCTGAATATACCCATTCTCGCTATCACAGAGCTTATACATCTTTACACCATACCTAGAGCGCTTGGAAGGAACATACTGCTTGAATCCCAGCCTTCCCTTATACTTCATCAGGGATTCATCCACGCATATATTCCTTCCAGGTGTATAAGCCTCTGCAAACCTGGCAGCGAAGTGGGTAATCAGGGGGCGGATTTTATACAGGGGACACAGGCTGTTGTCGTTGAAGTGCATGAAATGCAGAATCATTTCATACCTCTTCCTCGACATACATTGGGAGTAAATGGGGGTAGAGCAGATGGGGCTACTGCTCCAGTAGGAGCGGATGGAGGGCTTCTTTATGATGCCCATCAGCATAGTCAATGCCCAGAATCTTTTAAATTCTGGCACATCGATGGGGGCCCATTGCTGCTTTGCCAAAAAAGAGTCAGGATTTGTAGCTCTGAATTGATGAGCATATAAATTAGTTTGGGCGACAATGTTCCCCAATACATCATCGCCCAGAAACACCTCCATAAACTGCTGAGGGCTAAATCCTGTGACATCCAAATTAATGCCAGGATTTGCAGTAAAGGATGGGATGTCTGGCCTCTGGCGATGAGGCACTACCCACTCCTCAGCAGTTCTGCCAGCTGTAGCAGCACGTCTCCTTCGGGCAGGGGGACTAGCAGGCACAGATACAACATCACTAGATGCATCACTAGCAGCAGACACTGTATCTAGTGATGATGTATCTGAGCACCTGGCTGGGTCAAAATCAGGGTCAGAGTCTGACATAGACGCGTCAGACTCTAGCGCAAGGGTGGCATATGACTGCTCAGCGCTGGTTGACTTCCGTGACCCATGTGACATGATCACAATCGCTTTACTTAGTGACCTGTCACAAAAAAAAAAAAAAAATGAACAGACAGCAAAATAAGTGCTGCTGTGCAAGAGCCTGTGATCTGCAGAGTGATCACAGGCAGGACAGGGGTTAATCGTTCTGAAAGGAGCTTTTGGGTCTCACAAAAAAAAAAATTCACAAAAAATAAACCCCTAAAAAAGAAAAAAAATATGCACAAACAGCAGACAATTACTGCTGTGCAAAAGCCGGTGATTATAGTGATCACTGGCAAGACAGGGGTTAATGGCTCTGAAAAGAACCTTTGGGTCTCAAGAGTTTACAAATCCCTACCTATAAACACCTAAATCTCTCTAGCTAAACCACAGATCTCTCTCCTTCTCTCACTAAAGCACAAGTGAGGAGAGGGAGGCAGATCCACACTAATCAGAGAAATGGGGAACACACTTGGGATGAAATTGCTAATGGGGCAAGCTGTGATTGGATGACCCCAGCCTGCCCCTTATGATGCGGCATGCTAGGGACACCCCCAGAAGCCTCATGATTCACTGCCTTTAGAAAGGGATGGGGGTTAATATTGATCATTTTATTTCTTTTCTATTTAATTTTTTAATATATATAGTATTATATATGCACTGAGTGCCAGGACCCCTCGAGGCACTCCGCACATACAGAGCATCACTGCAATACTATCAGAGCTTCCAGAGCTCAAAATAGCTGCAGACGTACCAGGTACGTCCAA